GGGTCACTAACAGAAACCTTGGTGTGAGGATTAAAGAACACAAATACGATGTCGCAAAGAATAAGTGTGAAACAGCTTTATCCAAAATGGCACAAGCGGAAGGTTCTGTTATTAAATGGGAAGATGCTAAAATCCTTGCAAAAGTACACTCACCAACGCTCTTGTCCATAACTGAAAAATGTGAAATATACAGGGCAAGTTTAACAGATAGATGTTTAAATTACAAGGATGCGAGTGTTACCTTCATCGTGGAAATACATAGTAAGAAAAAACACACGTAATAATACACCTGCAGAGACTCAATAGATATCTGGGATAATGTAGAAAGAATTGGTACTTAGTGTGTACGGTTAATCACCATATTTTATTTTTGTTTTTTGTGTGATATTTTAGTTTATTATTTATTATTTTATTGTGGTTAAGTATGTTCTATTGGTTTAATTCAAACGTATGTTCTAATTTGGTTAATTTTGAACTTGTTCGATTTTGTATTAGAGTCGAACAATGTTAACCTGAAGATGGCCCATAAATTGGGTTGAAAACGTTTGTTTTGTTTAATAAATATATGTTCTCAGCAATAAGGTGTGTTGGGTGTATCTAGTATATTGCTTAAGAGGCTGAGTCGGAGTAAGTGGTTAAAAAACACACACCAAAAAAAATATTGGCGTAGCCCAAGATATAGCCAAAGATTGCAGCGCCACAGCACTAGCAAAAATTTAAATTTGCTGACTGGAATGCTTTCAGATAACCGACTTTTGGATAAACGACGCTCTACTATATTTAAGAAGCATTCCAAATACAGTACTGTGATCATGTGAAATAAAATTTCAATTTTCAATATTGTTTGAGGAAAACAAAAGCAAACTCATATACAATAAACATCAGAATATTTATTTGTGCATACATATAGATATATAAATTTTATGTATGATATTACCAATTTTATTACTTTATCTCAATTTCCAACTTTAATTCTATTCAATAAATAAAGCAATAAAACTTTTTATCTTTTATGTTCAAAAGAACTTTTGTAATTATATCACAAAAGTTTTAAAAATGAGAAATTTAATTAACAATTACAGTATAACCTCCAAATAAGGAAAAGAACTCTAACGTAATTATTGTCGTACCAGTGTTGGTTCATCTATACTAATATTATAAAGAGGTAATGTTTGTATGTAAGTTTGTATGCAGCAGGTAATCTCCGAAACTACTCATCCGATTTAAAAAATTCTTTCACCAATATTTAGAATGGAACTTCAGGGTGGACATAGGCTGTATATTATTCCATTAAACATTCATATAAATTAAAAGATATAATCTAGGTTAAGGCTTTTATGTCCAACAGATGGCGCTACAAGTACGACACCCTAAGTTTGCTTTTCTGCGAGGCATTACGCTTTTCTGTGAAAATGAACTAAAGCAGATCATCTTCTATCTATCTATATAAATAAAAATGTAATGTTCGTTTGTTCCTACCGATTC